TTCCGCCCTCTCACCCCAGCATGCCCCATCCCCATTTCTTCCCTTCCAGCACCTCCTGCATGCCACGGAACAGCTGATCTATGGCAGGGGGAGGTGCTGGCAGGGATCTTACCTTTATAGGTGTCTAAAGCCCTTGGAATGGGTTTGGAACTACTAATACATATAACCAAACTAAGAACAGCAGCAATGAAAGAAGGGCTTTAGCACACAAACCTCAACTCAGAGTCTACACACTTCCATATGTTCCCCCCAGTTCTCTACTTCCTGTTATCATCAAGTTTGACAGAGTATTATTGTGGGCAACACAATTTAGACCAGGTACTAAAGGTGAAATTTTAATTTATCTTTAGTAAAATGCACCTTCATCCATTAGAATCTTTGCTGGATTAACAAAGTGGACCAAAATTTTCGAAGAGACAGGACTGAGTTTTCACAGAAGCTGCTTGCTTAGAGGGAGTGGTACCACTTCTGGAAAAAGGTTCCACTATCCATGTGGATTTTCAAGGCACAGAGTTAGGAAATGTCTCAAGTTTGGAATCTCAGGTCAGGTTCTGACTCCCATAATTCACATCAGCCAAATGTGTTCTCATCTTGTAAAGTCTCATGCTGTGGCTGGAATGTTGACAGTGCACTCGCACAATACTCTGAAGCCATTAAAACACTGAAGATAGATGGTTGTGTTGTCTTATCTAAGATATTACCTAAATACTATACAATATCGAGAAGAACAGAAAAGAGGATGCATTCATCAATTTAAAGTTACTTATAGAAGTCTCATTTTGAATGTAACAAAAATTAAGCAGATATTCACTGGGGGGGGGGGGGGGGGGAGGAGAAGAAGGAAGTAAATTTGCTGATCTGATGGACTATGATTTGTCCCAAGAGCAAGTTCCTTCACTTCAAGAAAAGAGGAACTGATGACTGAAAACGGTCTAGTCCACCACCTCTATTCCGAAGAAGATAGACCAGAAACCTCTGGATTCTTAGCATATAGTATTTAATGGAGACAAAGAGCCAAGAATGTTAAATCAGCAGCTACTTTTAGAGAACACTTCTTTTCACAATTAAGGAAGCCACCATTAACATTCAAATTAAAAGGAAAAACTACATTGAAGATGCACTCCTTTTAACATACAACTTTTATTGCTTAATCTAAGGAAGTGACATCTTAAAAATAGAGTTTGGTTTGTCATTTATCCCAGCAAGTCCTGTTTAAACACTGTTGCGATTTCAGAACAAGTGACTTTTTTTTGCAGCCTTGCTTGCTCCTTCCCCAGCCATATTTTTCAGCCCACAGCAAAACACTACAGGATTCTATGACTGATATTTCCCATCCCACTAGGAGTTCTTCAAGCTCCAGAAAAACCTTCCCATTTTTCACTTCACTGCTTCACAAAGGGCTCCTATTGCAGAAAAATCTTTTTTTTTTTTTTTTTTTTAAAAAAAAAAAAAAAAAAAAAAAAAGAGGATGACAGAACATAGCTCCCTCCAGAGCTTGTCAAGCCTGTCAATTGCAACTGTTAGCAGAGGAGCATGGAGAAAGAGAGAAGCCAGAGAGAAGAGAAGTCACAGAAAGAGGGGGGAAAAAATCTCTCCCCTCAGGTCACTCGGGTCTAGTCTACACCTAGAAATTAGCTACATCATTATATATAGCAACCTAGCTATATCATTCAGGGCTGTGAAAAATTTCACACCATATGCAATGCAGTTAGGTCAACCAAACCCCCACTGTAGAAGCAGCTAGGTCAATAGAAGAATTCTTCCACTGACCTAGCTACTGCCTCTCAGAGAGTTGGATTACCTGCATTAATGAGAAAACCCCATCCGTGAATGTGGGAAGTATCTACACTACAGCAGCACAGCTGCAGAGCCTTAGCTGTACGCTTGTAGCATAAACAAGGCCTCTGGTTACTGCCTCCACCAGCACAAGAGAAAGGAACTCAAATTCACTAGGTCGGCACACCATACTGCCTTGGAACTGCAGGGACACACTGATGTGTTTAGTATTTTCGAACATTAATATTGTATTACTACCGATTATTCACTTTAATAAAGCAGTGGCATTATTATGTACTAGCAGAAGAATAGTACACTAAAAACATACAGGGATGAACATAAGACAATAAGGCATTATAACTGATAGAAGCAGCACGATTGATCCCCTTTGAATGAATTTTTTGGCCATCTCTCCCTAGAACTCAAATGCCTTCAGAAAACACAAGCTTCTGGACTTAGACCAAAAAGAGATATAGGAATGGATTTTATTTCTACCAAGATATCCACTGAGGAGGTCAAACTAAAAGTTTGCCTGTAGGAAAGCCACAACATTTCTTTTTAGAGACTCTTACAATTTTTGATGAATGAGTGAATTAAATGAGGAATCTGTAGTTGCCTTTTTTTAATATGGAAGTCTTGTATACAAAGAAAAATTATTTATCTTCCATAATCCTAGAGTTGAATAAAACTGGTTTTATTCAATTAACTGGCGCATCAAAGAATCAAAAACATTTAATAAAAATCCCATTAACTCTCCACCCAGTCTGAAGTAAGAATTCCAGGGAATATATAGAAGTTCTAATGTGATTATTCATCCATGTAAAACAAATGGCATAGTTTAACTGAAGGCAGTGTCTGTTTGGTAACTAAACTTTTTCAAGGAGACTAAAATGAAGTTATATTCAGGACTAGAAGGGAAAATGCAAACAAAAAATATTTTATAATCACAGTGTCTGACTGGGTCACCAAAAACAGCAACTAAAATGACAAATTCAATTTGGCAGGCAGAGGTGTGGCTATGACAAAGAAAAAAAATTTTAAAGAAGGATGGGACATAACCTTTAAAAAAAAAAAAGTTTTATTTCTGGTTTTACTACAAAAAACTACCTTTACATGTATAAAAAGCTAGGATACCAGTCATTTATAATTAAAATGAAACAGATTCCATATTTCCATGTATTTATTCTATGCAGAACGGTCTATTTTATAAACTGTTCTTGAGTGAGTTATACACCTTTATAAAAGGTAATAGGCAGGGGCCTACTTCAGAAAAATTAAAGGTGGGGCGGGTAAAGTTGTGTTGGCATATAAAACATTATATGTAATTTTGCGAGGGGCAAGAAGTGGAAAACATCATTGAGCACACAGAGTTTAAGAAGTCTGGGAAGTGGCAAATTCCCCTAGCCCCCTTGCTCATTAGCAAGCTAGGCTCCTGGTAATAGGTATCAGCTTGAAAGAAATGGAGTGCGATATTGAACATCCTCTATTTACCATGGACCAAGAGATCATTTTCTAAACTTTATTTGCCCAAATGCTGAGAAATAATGAGAAAGTGGTCATTATTGATACTGATGTCTAAGGAACTTGCAAGTACAGTCTGGGAGTTTGGGGGGGGCAAACTCATCACGCTAGAGGTGAGAGGGTAGAAGAGAAAGACACTGCCAAAAGAAACAGTCTTAGGCTACGTCTTCACTACCCACCTGAATCGGGGTAGAAATCGATCTCTCGGGGATCTAATTATCACGTCTCGTCGGGACGCAACAATCGAGCCCCGAATTGACGCTTGTACTCCACCAGCGCAGGTAGGAGTAAGCGCTGTCGACGGGGGAGCCGCGGCTGTCGATTTGCCGCCGTCCTCACAGCGGGGTAAGTCAGTTCGGATACGTCGAATTCAGCTACGCTATTCGCGTAGCTGAATTTGCGTATCTTAAATCGATCCCCCCCTAGTGAAGACGTAGCCTTACAGAATGCTCTCTCAATATTCGATTCAGACAAGAACATACAAATACATTGACTGGGAGATTAATTTTTCTCAGCTTGATTCTTCCAAGCTGGTACACTAGCTGCCAACTGCAAATCACAAGCCAACAGAATCCACATCCCAGAGAGATATTTTTACCCCTCAAGGAGGACAGTTTTCTCATTGCCTCCCTTAGTGGGATTTCCACTGAGGATCAGCAGCTTTAAAATCTCAATTGGGGCTTCAAAGAAACAGGGCATCACCTGGCCAGCCTGGTAACATCCCTTCCCCCAAACAAACAAACAAAACAAAACAAAACCACAAGGTAACACTAGCGCTGTACTGGCCAGTTCTGCTTTGCCAGTATCTCGTCTCTTGCCACAGAAGTTCCAGATGCTTTGACCACTACAGACTCCCCTCTGGGCAGACTTTTCACATTGAGTACCTTGAGCCCCACAAGAAGCCAACTTCACCTAGGACTGAATCTAACCGATCTGTGCATTGTCTGTAGACAATGACTGTGTATCCACACTAGGAAAAAAAAAAAACTAACGTTTGTTTTTAATCATGTGTTTGCTAACAGATAAGATTTTAGTCACAAGGCAGTGTGTGGGTTCTCACAGGTGTTAACGGGTTGAGGTAAACCACTAGGGTATTTGTAAAACCACAAACGCTCTTTTCCATCTTAGGATTTTACCATATATTAGCTAACATGATAAAATAAAACCCACACCTTTTCTCCTCATGAAGACCAGGCCTGAGTGGACATTTCTAACCTGACTTGGAGTGGTATACCATGTTTTGTCTTAATATATCCAGTCACCAAGCTCTCTCCCACAATCTTGTAAGCAAACTAATGTTGTATTATAAGTCATTTAGAATGTGGGGAAAGTTTGTAAATACTGAAAGACCATTAGTTCTTTAAATCAGAATATATTTTAGTACTGTTAAAACAACTGGATGCATATGAATTGTTTTCATACTTTTTTTTCTACTGCTCTCCGAAGTATGGAAGACAACTTTGTTTATTGAATTAAGTTCCACTGAGTGAGCTGAGGTATCCATTCTCTGCTTGGAAAGTTACTTGAGAAACAAGGAAAAATGTAACTATTTTTCTTTCAATAAAAGGCAAAACTCAAAAAGGTTCTTCTGACTGTCAAGCTGGGTGCCATGATGGAGACATCAACTAAAAATTCAACTCATTCTTAAAAGAACCAAAGAAGAAATTACTGAAGTTTCATACCTATGTGAGATGGTTACTCACCTGCTGAATTATTTTGGAATCTTTTTGAAAGTTTTCTCTAGGAGGGACTTTTCCAAATAACTTCCAGCCAGGAGCACTGTGGAGACCAGGTTTGAGTTCCTTTGTCCTTTTGGTGAAAAAGTTTCTGGAGGGAGGGGGAGGGGGGAAAAAAAGAAGAAAAAAAAAGAGAACATACTTTTAAATTACAGGCATCGTACAGTACTAAAGTTTGTCTCAATTTTAGATTTGTTTTAGCCCAATACATCTTTGTACAGACTTAATGTTCAGCAGAGCAAATACTTGTTTGTATTCTACCTTTATTTTCTCTTGTTCTTTACAAAAATCTGAATAATGTATAAAATAAGAATTGTCACGTGCTATTGAAATAAATGTCCAATTGTTTTCAATAATCACTGTTGAGATGATACACTCTGGATAGTTTTCTTTTTAATGTTCGTGTTTTACAGTTGTAACTCAACAGGAATAAAAGACTATAGCATTAAATATCAGAGCATCTGCAGGATATTGGAGGACTCACCTCCTATTTTTTAAGCGTTCAGAATATTGTGTATCTAGCTTATGACTTTGCAGTGATAGTATGTTTAAAAAATAGTATTTAATCATTGAGCCAAGGATAGTGAATTTAAATCTTTGTGGTAAATAAATCAGCTGGGAAGTGATTTAAACAAAGTTTTCCTAGTCCAAAATACTAGAGACATTGGTACTATAATATACATCATTCCACTGATTAAACATAAACCCAGGACAACATTTCTAAAAAATTATGTTGTGATATAGAACACCGCATACCAAAAAGTTTTAATTTCAAAATATTTATGGTGGAACTTGTCTCCAAGTATTAGGGTGACCAGAGGTCCCGATTTTATAGGGACAGTCCCGATTTTTGGGGCTCTCTCTTATATAGGCACCTATTACCCCACCACCCCCATCCCGAATTTTCACACTTGCTATCTGGTCACCCTACTAAGCATTAAATTTCAGCCTGTAACAACTCAGCACTCATGTATGGGGGATATAGCTTGTTCAGGAAGGACAGGCAGGGTAAAAAGGGAAGAGGTCCTGCATTATACATCAAGAATATACACTTGTTCTGAGGTCCACAAGGAGATGATTGGCAGACCAGTTGAAAGTCTATGGGTAAAGATAAAGAGTGGGGGGGGGGGCGCGGAAAACAGGAGTGATGTCATGGTAAGGTCTACTATACCCCACCATATCAAGAAGGAGGAGGAGGAGGCGGCGGCATTTCTAGAACAAATAAAAGATACATTCAAAACACCAGACCTAGTAATAATGTGGGACTAACTACCCAGACATCTGCTGGAAAACTAATATGGAAAACCACAAAATTTCTAATAAGTTTTTGGAATGTATAAGGGACAACTTTTTATTTCAGAAAGTGGAGACAGTCATTTTCAACTAGTTTCTACCTAAGAGGGAGAAATTGGTAAGGAAACTGAAGGTTGAAGGCAACTTGGGTGATCATAAAATGGAAGGAGTGTAAGCAACAGAATAAAGACAATGGATTTCAAAAAAAGCAGACAAACTCAGAACTGATAGGGATAAGGTCCCATGGAAGGGCAATCTAAGGGGAAAAGGAGTTCAGGAGAGCTGGCAGTTTCTTAAGGAGGCAATATTTAAAGGCACAATAACTGCAGGTAATCCCAATCTGAAGGAAAGGTGAGAAGAATAGTAAGAGCCCAACTACGGCTCCATCAGGAGCTCTTTAATGACCTGAATATCAAAAAGGAAGCCTACAAGAAAGTGGAAACAGACAAATTGCTAAGGAGTACAAAAGACAAAAATAAAAAAAGTAGCCTCATATTACTAAATAAGATACAAAAATATAGATGCCCAGTGATATCCAATATAATTAATGTTACAAAGCAGTTCTGATTTCAGCACCCATTTTCACATTCCGATTTTCTGAAACATACACAATTGTTAAGCTAGGAATGTGAATCTGTCCATAGATAAATTTCTTTTGGAAAATCTCTGCAATTATAGAGTATATGTGAGATGGGGAAACTTGTACATTCTTCTCCCATTGTAATATATTCCAACTTCTTTCTATCAATCATCCATAAATAAATAAAATAAATCAGGGCTACAAACAGCTCAGCTTGGGAAATTAAAAATAAAGCTGTGACTGGAAAAAACCTCACTCACTTAGCATATGCCCAATAAGCACATCCTAGGTATTACTGTAATACAAATGAATAATGTTTAAAGTTTTTCAGCAGAGCCCAGTGAAACCAATTCACTGATGTCTCTACACGCTTGTTTTGCCTGATCAAGGGATTGTGAAGTGGCAAGCACTCCCACTAGAATTTGCACAAACAGAAACAGTAGAGGTTTCATTGAAACATAGCAAATATTAAAACCACCAAAATCTGCATAGGCTTAGCATCAGAAACAGAAGAGAAATTCATGTTTGAAAAGAATAGCCAAGCCAATCCTGTAATTTTAGAAGGTCGCCGTGTTTGTGACAGTCTTCATTAAGTTCTAAAAATTAGAAAAAATAGTTTCCAGAATTTCCATTGTGAAGTTAATGACAGCATAATGCAGACTGCCAAAAAAAATGTCTTTAAGCAAAAGTGTCATCAGCAACACTCCCTGATTCACTCAAAATTACCTCACTATGGTATGAGCTGCCCAGTGTAGTAGAGACTCACACATTTAACACAGTTTAATTGCACTGTTAAACAATAGAATACCATTTATTTAAATATTTTTGGATGTTTTCTCCATTTTCAACTATATTGATTTAAATTACAACACAGAATACAAAGTGTACAATGCTCACTTTATATTTATTTGTATTACAAATATTTGCACAGTAAAAAAACAAAAGAAATAGTATTTTGCAATTCACCTAATACAAGTACTGTAATGCAGTCTCTATCATGAAAGTTGAACTTACAAATGTAGAATTATATACAGAAAATAACTGCATTCAAAAATAAAACAATGTAAAACTTTAGAGCCTACAAGTTCACTTAGTCCTATTTCTTGTTCAGCCAATCGCTCACACAAACAAATTTGTCTACATTTGCAGGACATAATGCTGCCCGCTTCTTGTTCACTATGTCACCTGAAAATGAGAACAGGTGTTCTCATGGCACTGTTGTAACCGGCGTCACAAGATATTTATGTGTCAGATGCGCTAAAGATTCATATGTCTCTTCATGCTTCAACCACCATTCCAGAAAACATGCGTCCATGCCGATAACGGGTTCTGCTCGATAACAATCCAAAGCACAGCTGACAGATGCATATTCATTTTCATCATCTGAGTCAGATGCCACCACCAAAGGTTGATTTTCTTTTTTGGCGGTTCGGGTTCTGTAGTTTCCGCAATGAGGTGTTGCTCTTTTAAGACTCCTGAAAGCATGCTCCACACCTCGTCCCGATCAGATTTTGGAAGGCACTTCAGATTCTTAAACCTTGGGTTGAGTGCTGTAGTTACCTTTAGAAATCTCACACTAGTACCTTCTTTGTGTTTTGTAAAATTTGCAGCGAAAGTGTTCTTAAAATGAACATGTGCTGAGTTATCATCTGAGACTACTATAACATGAAATATATGGCAACGTGTGGGTAAAATAGAGCCAGAGACATTCAATTCCTTGGGGGAGAATTGTATCACAAATTTAATTAACTCATTTTTTTTAAATGAGCATCATCAGAATGGAAACATTTCCTCTGGAATGTTGGCCAAAGAATGAAGGGGCATACAAATGTTTAGCATAACTGGCACATAAATACCTTGCAATGCTGGCTACAAAAGTCCTATGTGAACGCCTATTCTCACTTTCTGGTGACATTGTAAAGAAAAAGTGGGAAGCATTATCTCTCGTAAATGTAAACAAACTTGTTTGTCTTAGCGATTGGCTGAACGAGAAGTAGGACTGAGTGGATTTGTAGGCTCTAAAGTTTTGCACTGTTTGTTTTTGAGTGCAGTTATGTAACATACAAATGTAGATTTTTCCCCCCTAAGTTGCACTTTCATGATAAAGAGATTTCACTACAGTACTTGTATGAGATGAATTGAAAATACTATTTCTATCATTTTTACAGTGCAAATATTTGTAATCAAAAATATAAAGTAAACACTGTACACTTTGTATTCTGTGCTGTAATTGAAATCAATATAGTAGAAAATGTAGAAAACATCCACAAATATTTAATAAATTTCAGTTGGTATTCTATTGTTTAACAGTGAGATAAAAATAATTGTGATTTAAAAAAATTAATCACGATTAATCATAGTTTTAGAGTTAATCATGTGAGTTAACTGTGATTAATCAACAGCCTTAATTTTAATCTAAAGCATCAAGTTTTGAAACAAGTTTTAGAAAGCTTCAACTTGGTTTACATCAATGATTTAAAGAAAGTGATTTGAATCATGATCATTTAGGTTGCTCCACTCTGCTAAATTCTAAAGTGTGTACCTTGGATCTTAAATGAGGAAGTTCTCATGGTTGATTTTAAAAATAAGCTTGTAAAGTTTCTAACTGACTAAGCAATGTTCAGAGGCGTTTTAAAATTAAGATAAAACTTTGAAATGGATCACTGCTTTGCAGTGCTAGTTGAGCTATAACTTATTTTTAATGCATCTACGTGTTGAACACAACAAGAATCACTACAAGAGCAGTCAATTTTCCTTATCTGAACAACTATGAACCACTAATTTTGCATGTTTACACACAAAAAGTTAATACATTATATGTGGCAGAAATTCAACTGCAGTTAAGATTAGAGAAATCCTCATCTTGTAAGTACACCTCTAACCCGATGTAACACGACCCGATATAACACGAATTCGGATATAATGCGGTAAAGCAGCGCTCCGGGGGCGGGGGGGGGCTGCGCGCTCCAGCGGATCAAAGCAAGTTCAATATAACGCGGTTTCCCCTGTAATGCGGTAAGATTTTTTGGCTCCCGAGGACAGTGTTATATCGGGGTAGAGGTGTACCATAACTCAAACAGATGAGGATACTATCTAATTATTCCATTTTGTATTTTTATATCCATTATATTTTGTAACACCTAATGTCGAAATGCATTAACTGTATATTTTTACTAGCAAAAACTGTGTCTCAAATGTACAGATAAAAATACAACTTG